TACATGGTGAATCTTCAAAATTCACCCATTAGAAGAAAACCCCATTTCAAAATCACCTCAACCCACTTTCCCCAATAAAATTTCCCTTAAATTCAACCGAGAAAAAAACAATTTAACCATCACGGAGCAGATTAAGAACAAAAACATGGAAAGAGAGGGAGAAAGGAAAGATACCCAACAACAAGACGACGCCCTTTATTGTCATAACGCTGCATGTGCCTGCCTGTTCGGGAGACAAGGGCAACCATGTTCTCTACTGGCATAGGTAAGAATTTAGTCGGGATTTTTTCAAGGAAAGGAGAAAGGAAGGGGATGAAATTTACGAAACTCTTGATCAAGAGAGAGACCGCCCGCATGGTGACCGAAACAAACAAGAGAAACGGAAGGTTGCAGAATTTAGATAGGCTACGAAGTTCGTTCAAGAAGCAAATATGTTTTCCTTTTCAGCTTCACTCAAAGAGTGATTATAGATTAGGATCGCCGGAGAGCAGAGAGGCTTCCAATTTGCTGCTACGATGCTGAAACCTGTGGATGGGATGAGAATTGCTGCTCCATGTCTGCATTTAATAGGGGACGGTGAAGAAGATGGAGACACGCGAAAAGCATAGACAGCTGGTTACGTCAAGCAACGCGTGTGCGTAGCGCTTGTTGAACACCGTCGAGTAGAAAATGGATAAAATTACTAAAAATATCACTTTTTTTTTTTTTAACAACAAGAAATACAAAACAAAGTTTGTTACACATAGCTTGTATGAGAAACTGCTATCCCAAAAATAGTGCATCTTTAATTATGGTTTTTATTTTTATTTTTTATATATTTATCAGTTAATATTATAATATTAAAAAAAACATTATAATATAATATAATGTGTTATTATAAATATATAATTTGATATATTATTATATAATTGACTTATTTTATTTAAAAATTCACTCATAATATTATTTTTATTTATTTATTTAATATTACATTATATTCATTTTATGACATATAATATATTTACTTGTTTAATATTATGTTATACTTATTTAATGACCCATGGTGATTATAGACTTATAATTTTAAGTAATATTCTAATTAAAGTATTAGCATATAATATTAGTACTTATCTATCTTATATATTACAAATTAA